ATCCCCTATGTGTAATTTGTTTTAAGTCAGAGGAGTCTGTTTGTCACTCTCCCAATATGCTTCCAGGCAGGAACAAACAAGTTAACACCAGGGTGACATAACAGCGAGCTAGCAAACTCTCAAGCACATATCGCCCTTTAACAGTCATTGAATTAGGCTGATTCATAATTGCTGAACGAAATGTGCCATGCAATACCACCATCAGTAGTCAGGCAGAAATGTGCTGCAACACATTTGCAAGTGCATATGGGCATCCACATCCGCACGATGTGTATAATGTTTGCTTGCGTGCACATTAAAGTTAAATGACTTATATCCGTCTTTGTTGTTGTTCAAGACCTTTATCCAGCACTGGATCCACACATTCACCAGAAGAACACTGAATTAATCAGAGACTTGTGCACAGCGAGGTCAGTCCTCGTATCTCCCTTCGTGTCCATCGCCGCTCGTACACTCTGTGATGCAATCCTTGCATAGAGAGGGGAAAGCAAGGTAGAAAGAGAGTCAACACGGTAACAGAGGCCCCTGCGGTGCACGACAAGGTTTCTACGCCTCTGCCTTGTCTCGTAAGCATCACTCAGCCATTGGCCCTGGGGCAGAGTGCTCGCTGGCACCTGTGTGCCGCCCGCGCTTCTCAGTGGCATGTCATTCACCTTCTCTCATGTTGACACCAAGACTCTCTTCTGCTGCGTGTAGACATGTCAGCATCTTTCCCTTCTCTTTATCTCTCCCTCTCCCTCTCCCTCTCTCTCGGATGGGATTTTTCCTCATCGGAATATTAAAGAAATGAAAAGTGGCTTTGGCCGCGCTCAGTAGTACATGGTATTGCATTATGCATAATTGAGTCTTTGAATTCGCCCACCACTTGACTCTTGAATACAGAACTTATTTACCTTCTCCGGTATCTTCAAGTCTCAGTATGTCTGCCAGCTCATAACGCCCTCCATTTAATTATCAGATATTATTGGAGTGCTTGTGCACAAGCAGCTATTCAGATTTTGGTTCCTCTTTGACATTGTATGTGCCTAGACATATCTGTCTATTTTTATTTTCGTCTGCTCTTCTATCTGTCTATCTACCTATCAGTATCTACTGTATCCAACCTTTCTGTGTTCATGCGACTACACCTTAATACTAATCTGCACACGTCATATGCCTTTACACCTCCCTCGGCATTTCTCAGCAGCTTACAACCCTCAGGCAGAGCTACTTTGTAGGGAAGTGATAACATGTCAGCTCTGCCTCTTCCTGGCAATCACATCATGCAGCCCAGTGCTGGCTTCACACAGAAGTTCCTACCCCACTCACTCAAAGAACATAATGAGTGGGTCAGCACAGGTTACACAGCCTTCCTCCAGACTACAGTTTTACCAAAGCTGCAACCGCCAGAGCAGATTGCTCCAAGAAAATAAAATATTTTGGAAAAGGCCCGGAATCTCTGTAGAAAGGCATAGGGCCTCATGCAAGAACTACTTGTCCAAGCAGATTTGTTCCTAAGGGGCATGTCCATGAGAATTTGTAACATTCACCAATTTCAACAATCTTCTGGTATCGAATATTCTTTTAGGAATCACCTATTGTGTAATAATCTGGAATCTCTCCGTGATTGTCACATCCCCTTGACTTCCTTTAATGATTTACTGCTTTGCTTTAGAGAGCCGCATCTAACTTCATGTCAATCTATTCACTACACAATCAGATTGAAAAGAGCAATTTACGTTTCTGCAACTGGGCTGGGAGCAATCGTACGACCAAATCAATCACATTTTCATGTTGTCTGCCATATCTGCTGGTGATTTTGAAAGTGGCTATTTATAACACAGCAAGGCTCAAAAAGAAGTATTTTGGCTGCATTTGTTTGGAGGGTCTTTCAACCTATAAAGCTCAGCTGGAGTGGTTGGTGCTTGCCTCCACCTCAGCTTAACTCGGGCGTCACACTGAGGCCCAAATTTGTTTTTCTGGCTGCAATAACTGCCAAGAATGGGTTGAGCAGAGAACCCTGCTTCAGGCTTCAGACATGCTACACATGTGGTTGAAACTTCCTGGCTTTCACATTAAATGGTGGACATATTGTAAGTACATGCATGTACAGCAGGCAATAGTAACAACTGGGTTGAAAAAGATGATTATTTGCATAACTGTTTCATACATTCACCAAATATAGACAAGTAACCCAATAAAATGATTCCTCATTGTTCACATCGTTCACCCTGATATTTCTATGTATTGTATTGCAAGCAACCACTTAAAGTAACATCCAAACCCTGTTGAGCAGTGGCCTATACAGCAGGTACTTAAATAGCCACACACTAGTTCAATCTGTGCTCAAAAACCTGCATCATAAACACACACTTGTATTGGCTTCAACTACAGCCGCTGAGCAGCAAGAGAGTTGTTAGCGTGTGTTGAAAACAGTCTCATCTGACCAATGACACCACCACCTTTGGGCTGTTAATCTCCAGGACAGACATTAGACGTTTAAAAGTGCTTTAAAAGTGAAGGCACATACGTTTAGTGACTACCCTTGGTTCCAATGAATAGCACATTTATGGGACTGATTTAGAGTCACATGTTGAGCTGTGTTACACTTTGTTGTGCTCACATTGTTCAAGGGCTTGCCTCTGTGTTTCTGTCAGCCTATACCATTCTGTACGGTTAATCTGCTTATGTTAAGGCAACAATTGGTTCAATCACTGTGGAGCATGGTGCGGCTTAATGTTCCTTAATGCCACAGAGACAGCAATTATTCGGTTACAGACCAACAGTACACCTCGAGGGAAATTGATCAGAAGTAATTTAGTATTATCCAAACAACACATTATTCACACGTCAATAAAGGCACTGTATGTTTCGTGAAATGCTTTAGGAGCACATCGAGTTAGGTTCACTGCAGCACACTCTCAACAACATTACCTCCAAGGATGGTATGTTATATCACCCACTGTCCAGGAGAATATCTCGATTCTTCCAGAATTATTCTCAACCCAAAATTTCCTTGGGGAATGTTTGTCTCGAGAGACGGTAAGCGTTGTTCTTAAGGTGGATAGACGGATCTTTTTTTACTCAGATGTCCTTCAAGAACTTCTGTTTGCACCTGTGTTTGCCTCTGAAACTTTGAGAGAGGTAAACACATATTCTAAAGTGACTGCTATACGTGCCAACTGTCCTCCTGCGAAGACCGTGTCATTTGTTGCCTTGACACCTGCATATCTTTCTCCAAATTCTCTGCTTCTGTGTGAATGAAGCTCTTCCCACTCTTCCTCTTCACCCTTCGGAAATTGTTTCAATCTCCCTTGTGAAACCTCCCACAGCTGCATTTATATATAAAATAACAATTAACCCTGATGGAGAAATTTTGCCTGACCGCGTTTTTGTTCTTTGGACAATGTTGTTATTCATGAAGTAAAATGTGTTGCAGCTGTGGGGTCAGCAAAGACTAGAGAAGTCGAAGCATTAAATACAATGTTACAGTATAAATATGGACTAGAGGCATCTAATCGCCTCCGGTCTATGTTAATAACACAAACTGCCAAAATAGCGTCTTCTCCCAAAAATACCCCATAACACTGACGTTGACTGTATAATAGAATCTGACTGTCACAGATTATGCTGTGAATATTACTCCCACGACGATGTCACCGATTTCTTCCTGCTGCTCTGAATAATAGTCAAACTTTAAATGAAAACAGCAAAAGAAACCGTACCACCATGCGTGCACAAACGAGTACACACCTCGTACGCAGAGACGAGAGTATAAGTGAGAAAATAGTCACAGTATCGTAAGAGGGGTGTCACAGTGAGATGACATTATCAGCTTAAATCAGCCCGTGCTCACATACCGCCAAGACAGGGTTCCCTGCCATTTATGGTAGCAGTTATTCCTGTGGAGAGTGGTGACAATCATGCTGGAGATGATTACCCACTATTACGCCTAATACTCAAGTATAGTCATTAGCTGTTACAAAGTCTCACTTATCAGTGAAAAAAACACTCATTGTTTCACAGAATAATTCGGGCTGCATTAACTTATCAAATCTTTTGCGTGGATATTTGTTTTTTGTTTGATTATAAAATAGTCTACGTGGAAGTTAGAAGGATCTTTGCTCAAAGAACATTATATTCAAAACAGTTGATGAATTAATAAATATACAAGCAATTAAAAATGTATTGTTGAATTGACATTTTTATGTGTGTATCAATATATTTCTGTCAATTCCATGTTTAAGCAGCTTGACCTGGTCAGGGCTTAAGCCACAATAAGCAGAGCAGCCTAAACATGCTTTACACCTCCAACTTCCTCCAGCTCCCTCCTGGTGAAAACCCTAGCACTCTCCGGGAAAGCTGAAAGATCTAATTCTTCCATAATATGCAGGGTCTTGGTCCTGGTGTCTCCTCCCAGTGGGTTGTTTCCGAAACCCGCCCGTCAGAAAGTTGTCAAGGGGCATCCTCACTAAGAGCTCAAACAAGCTCAGATGGTTCCCTTCAACACAAAGGAGCAGCGGCTCAATACAAAGGTTTTCTTGAACCGCTGAACTACTCGCATTAGCAAGTCGAGTAAGACCAGCCACCCTGCAGAGAGACCTCATCTCAGCTGCTCTAATCTTCAATCTTATTCTTGCGGTCACTACCCAAAGCTCTTGACCATAGTTGACAGTCGAGGCAAAGGCTGAGAAATGAGAGCTGTGCTTCATGGCCTTACCTCCACACTCGGATACAAAGCCAGCACTCGCCTTTTGAGTGTTCTTATCCTACTCACAACGTGGTTATTATTGAATGAATATGTGGGAAGATATGGCATCAGTCCAAGCAGTTCTGAATTATTTATTTATGAGTCATATTGTTTTTATTCCAAACATTGTATTGTTTCTTATAATGTCCATAGATATACTGTAGCTTCTATGACAACCTTTGTATTCATCTTGACCATTTGTATACTGTATCTATGAAATATGCATCTCAATTGATCGCTGAGTTATGATTTGTGTTCTATGTTTTTCCAGGTTTCCTCTGGTTAGTGAGCTGGCTCCATTTGGCACACCGGTGGGGACTATTCTAGCTGCTGCTGTCAATCAAACCATCTTCTACTCCATTGTGGCAGGAAATGAACTAGGTAGAGTATGTGCTATAGATCATATACAATTAAGTATTTTTTCAAAGTACAAAATGTTGTTAACCAACACTCCTACAAACACACTCACTCAAATGATATAGTAGGCTCTGAGTTTGTGCTACAAAGCCCTCTTGTTCCTGTTTTTCGTTAATTTTTCTACATAAAGCAAACACATTTTTTCTGCGCATCAACTGCAGATGTCCAGAAACCATGTTTTATATATTTTATAACAAAAATTCAAATATAATATGTGCTTTTACTAACATCAAAAGGTACAGAAACCAATTCTTAAATACTTAATTTGAAAATTGCAAGCTGCACGTCATAGCCATAGGGTTTGTCCTGTCTTTGTCTGGAAGTAGAATGTTTTGACATACTTGCCGCTGCAGACTGCTTTTCACACTGAAATGAAGTCTGAAGAGCATCATTACACCCTGGGAGAGAGAGAGAACACAAGACAGGTGTGAGGTTAGCTCAGGCGTTTAGGACAAAAACCGGAGACGTAGCTCTGTGCTGGAGAGAGCAAAGAGTGCAGTAGGAAGCTGTCAGTCAGTAACTCCTTCCCACCATGCACCTCACATGGACACATGAGCTAGAGTCACTTTTCCTTGGATGCTCGTGGAAATCGCAGGCTCGAGACCTAACGAGAGTGCTCTATTTCTACCTCCAGACCCCTTGCAGTAATATTCTCAGGGAAATCAAAAGCATTCTGAATTTTGAAGCAATGTCTTTTTACATAGCTAGATGTATTCCTGTGATTTTTTTTATTTTTTATTTGTCTGTGCTTACACTAAACATTTGTTTTAAAAATGCTGTTAAGGCAGCCTCCATTAGAATTCATGAAGGTTTTTTTGTGATTTCTGTATTTGCCAACAACTGCTTGTTTTATTCACTCTTTTTTTTTATAGCACATGTGTCAAGATGTACAGCTGTGTTAGCATCTGGATAATTGAACTCAACATTGCTGCAGGTTCTTTGTGTGAAGGGTGCTAAAAAGGCCCCATTGAGCTTCACACTGATGGACCAAGATTAAAGAGCCTGTGAGGGAGTATAACTGCAGTCAGTTGTAATACATGCAGAGTCACGTTTTACCAATATTGACCCGGAGATGTGTTGTGCCAAGAGCGCAAACAAAGCCGAGCCATATAGCTCTGATCAGAACACTACTGTGTGTCCAGTATTCAGTGCGTTCATCCATTATGTTACTTATCTCCTAGTTTTGTCTTACGTCCACTCACCTCATGTGCTCTGATATTGTTTGTTTCTAGGTCATTTTCGGGTGAACAACAGGACCGGTGTCATCTCCATAGCTAAACCTTTGGATTACGAAAATGTGACCAGCTATGTCCTCCGGGTGCAGGCAGACTCTATGCTGGTTGTCATGTCCAACCTGCGGGTGCCTTCTAAAAGTAAGAAATAGCATCCAATGAATGGGTGAATATGGAGGTTGAGTTGTGTTGAAGGAAATCAGGGATGAAATTCTGTTTCATATTAATCCAGATGCTGCATTTGTATTTAATCATATTAATCCCTCACTGTGACAGATTATGGTTAAACACAAAAAATGATGTTGCAGCCTATTTTTAACACTCATATTTATATTCATTTTTACCTGCATTATATATGTTTGTACGTATGTGAGGATTATTACATGCTTAATTCTGCCCCTTCACACATTAAATCTAAGTCTGCTGTACCGACACTGTTCGCCTGCAGATTTGGATCAAAACCAGGAAAACATTGTGTCACAGTGTGTATAGCTGCACTTTTATGCTTTATGCACTGTTGCCTTTCTTCACTGCACTGATCCATCTGTATACTTGTTGGCAGGTTTACTGCAGCCTGTAATTGGTTGTTCAGTTTCACACTTCAGTCTGCTTGTTTGTCTGACTCTATGTCTGACCACTATGGCATTTTCACACATTCAGACTAAGATGAATTGTCATATTATTTGAGTGACTATGCTGCATTACCAGCAGTTTTTTTTCTATTCCTTTGTGGAATTACTCAATGCTTTAAGTATGTGGTTAATATTTGAACACCCTCCGTTCTACCCGCAGAGCGCTGTCTCTTTGTCGAGCTGTCGATCCTAGACAGCGAGTAATATGAAAAGTTCAGTGTGATTATGTAGAAATATCAAGTATGTGATAAATGCATCGACATTTAACTAATCTATCAGTGATGGTGATTGTTAGAAATAACCTTAAAATATGATTTATCTCTATCTTTAAATCGCTATCTGCTTAAAAAGCAGCTTATCATAAATCACCAAAGACCTGTCTAAATTTGTCACAAAGGTCTAACGATCAGAAATAGCCCATTTATTTTAATTAAGTAAGAACTCCCCCAAAACGAGGGTGGGTGACAAAACATTAATCATTGCAAATTCTCATATAGTTTGTTCCCATTCTGAAGGCCTCTGTGTGCTAGTAACCACATCCAAAGGCGAAGCTAAAAGCCTGCTGTCACAGTCTCATCCTGGCTGCGTCCAACTGCTTCCCCGATCTCTGTCCAAGACTGCAGTGTCTTTGGCGTGTCTTTGTAGTCCAAGCACGACGGGGGATAATGGCGCATATGTTCACCCCTCAAAGCCATTTATGATGTTGCACTCGGTTGTACACCCCAACAAAGTTATGGAAGTACTTGAAGAGAGTCGGAGAGACAAGTTCATATTTACATTGTATCATACCTGGCCAATTGCTGTGTGTAGCGGGCATTCATTTGTCGGACGCACACGCGGTCAGAAATGAGGTTTTGAAGATGTTTGATAGTTCGCATACTGAGCCCTTCAGACAACGCTCTTTTTTTTGACCATGCTTCAGCTGGAATATCATTGGGCTTGTTTGTGGACCGTAAACTGACAAATGTTTTGTGAAATGCTAACAACAAGTCGGGTTCTTCATACCTCACTATCGATCCATTTCAACTGAATTATCAATGGCCTACTTTACCTGCATCTCTCCTTCTAGCACCATCTGTCTGTCACATACTAATGACGGCAATCACAAGTACACAATACGCAGGCACACACACACACTCGCATCACTTGTCTGATCGATGTAAAGTAGAGGACTATCTCTCTCTGACAGGGGATTGAACTTCCCTGGCATCTACAGGCTGACACCCTCTCTTGGCAGAGTGTTGACACACCATTTATTTTCTCCCTTATATTACTGTACCGCAGTAATATAAGTGGATCAGGACTCCGTGACTCTTTCTTCTCTGTATTGAGTTTAAATTATCAGATCATTACTGGACTGATTTGTCAGATAGATTAATTTTAACCCTGTTAAGACTAGTACACTTAGTACACTGTATATGTACGCATAAGCCTGCATACCCTGACATTTATATGTACATGTACACATGTAATAAAATCAGAGTACGACTAGATTTAATTCAACAAATGATAAACTCTTCGGCACATTTAAGCTCACTCTGCCTTAGCAGCAATCCCTCCTCTTAATGGACTGGTTTCTTTCATGCATCTTTATGAGTGTGTGTGAGAGAGGAAGGAGGAGGAGGGTTGTATTTATGTTTTCATACCCTGATACTCTGAGGATAAAATATAGCCACTTTCTACAAAGGACAGGGAAGAGAGAGAAACTCTTCAGACCTCTTTTCCATCCCCTGGAGTCCTCCCTCTGCGCCTCGCACTCCAGCTTTTGTGCCTGTAATTTGATGTGCTGTGTTTTTGTTTGTCCAATTCCCCTGGTGCATCCTTAGCACCAATGCCACATGGCTTTACATTTTTGCATGCCGCCAAAAGAAAAATGGTCCTTGACACTGCATATTTTTTCCCTAAACTGCATTGTTGGAAGGATGCTGTATGTATGTGTGCTGTTCATTGCATAGGTGTCACTGTGACAAATTAGGGGGCACAAATCTTTATTCTCAATATATGTGTGTTTTCTCTTCAAAGGGGCAGGATTCACATTTTACAAGCCTCGCAAAAAGACCAGTTAACCAACAAATGTATTTTTAAAATACCAAATGATCTGCCTCCTTAACCCCATTTCTTATTTCACAATGTTTTCTCTAACCCCTCTCCTTGATTATTGGCTGCCCTTCAAATTTTTACTTCCTATAATGTGCATATCGCTTGCCAGTTTAGCTTTCAGAGCCTTTTATTTAGTGCAGCAAGTTGTCCGGTAAACAAACTCCTCAACAATAAATGATGCGAGGTAGACCTTACTTAACATTAATGGCTTCGTAGGCAAGATTTCATCATCATTTTTATTATTTCACAGAGCCATATTTTACTCAAAGTGTGAATGTTCTCAGTAATTGGTTGGTAAACAAAAAGCAAACTTGCTCAGTTGTTTTTCTGATCTACTTGTCATGGGGCAGTGAGAGAAAAAGTCATCAACACACTTCAGACCCAGTTTCTCTCGATTCAAAATATTTGCTGTAATCAAAACAAACTTAACCTCCTCGTTATTGACTCAAAGTTGTACACTTCACCAAAATAGCTGCTCACACTGTTTCCTTGGAAAGGGTTGAGTTAGGGCTAAGGGAACTTGTGATTCTTTACAGCATGGAATTACAAATCGTTGCAGCTGAAAATTGCTAATAAATGAAGCGGGGTATTACCATATTCACTCAGTCCACTTTTGGTCAAAACAAAAACAAGCAAATAGCATCAATATTCCCACATTTTTTCAGTCAGATTTTAAAATCTAGGTGATTCTGACTCCCCAATTTAAAAATAAATGAAATTGATTTTATTGGCAATGGCCAGCCACAGGATCTTATTTGAAGACGTACTGTGAAGTTTTCAGCGATGATTAACTTTCAAAATATTCCGGGAAGTGATTTCAAGCTGTCTTTTGAAGTTGTGGACCAACTGATGACCATGAAAAAAAATATATTGACATGACAATTTCGAGGCTAAATTATGCAACATTTGATCAACGCCAGTTCGGATAACTTCAGAGATGTGTTTATTCAACAGCTAGTGGCCGTGACGACAAACTTTCTGGGCACGTGTGTCCCAATTCTTATTCTGTGAGGATGCAGCAAACCGTGGCTATCAGATGCTTGAATAGTTTTACATTGAAGTACACAGACTGGAGTTATTTGTTTTCTGCTTCACATGAATTGAAGCGACGTTAAGCCTTATAATATGCTATATACTAGATCTCTATAACCCCAAAGGACTTGAAAGCATTCTGTTGCCATTTGCTTTTTGCAGCTAACACAGCCAAGGTGTTCATTGAGGTGCAGGATGAGAACGACCACCCTCCCGTCTTCTCCAGGAGGCTCTACATAGGCGGCGTGACGGAGGACACCAAGATTTTCAGCACTGTGCTCAAGATAGTGGTAAGAAAACATCAGCTCTGGTCTTTCTTCTTGTTGGTTTGTGTCTGACTCTGGTCCCACATCTTCAACACTTACCCTGCAGCCATGGTGAGAGAATTCATCCGATCTGCTCTCTGCAACACAGTTTCATCTCCTCCCACTATCACTCGCTACATCTCTTCATCAGAGTGAGTTGAACGGTGTAATCCCAGAATGTTCACAGAAGCATGGCTGGACATCCTGTCTGGTTATCAGCCTGCTCTGCCAAGGAGGTTTCACTTTGTCATCCTGTATACTCCACTGTATGTCTGGTTTCTGTATGCGCGGGTGTGTGTTGATGTGTCCTCAAGCTTGTGTTTGTGTTCAAAATCCTTGAGGTGCCAGTGTCCTGAATGCCTACCTTGAATGTCAGCACTACACCTGACGAACAGTCATGCATTTAGGTCAATGTACAATGTGTCACGGCAACAGATTTGTGATTTTGTCAGGCTTTCGGTGTTTGTTGGGATTATGTGTCTGGTTTGTCTTAACAGGGTGTCTTATCTGTAATTGAAGTATACAGTATTTAAATACAACCATGCAAAAATGTAATTTCCACTTTTCAAAATCCTATTTTTGTCCCCCACACCTTTAATGTGTCGGGTGAATTTAATACAAAATGCTGTGAATTACCCTTCTCTCCAGCCACCAAAGCCTATGTCATTAACAATGTTAGATCAGGAATTTGATATAGATTATATTTTCTGCCCACGATCAACCCAAACATCTCTGCTTTCAATGTCAGTGAACAAGCGTCATCAGCTTGACTTTGCCTCCATAGCTAGTCATCAGCCGACGGGTGTTTTTCACTTTTTTTATTCCCCAGAACACGATTTAGTGTAGCATGACCAAGGCCAAGCTTTGTCTTTAATGTGATGCTACTCTGTGATGCTTATAATCAGGACTTTTTTGTTGCAATTTAGCAGAACCCTAGCGAAATTGATGGGCCACAACTAACTGGTACCTTGAAAACTGATTTTCAGCTGAGTGTCATCCACTTAACGACAAAAAACAGAAATGTGTCTAAGTGGAGACATATAAATAGGTATACGGTGGTGTTTCTTCATTTGGTGCAATTTTATCAAACTCTGGGTCATTTGCCTGTTTGGTTCGAGACTTTTACGCTGCATAAGAATGATGAAAAATCATTTCAACTGCATGTCACTGTGTTGTGGTCACAACACAGCACAGACTAACAAGATAGTAATGGCCTAGTGCATTATGGAGGACCTTTTCAAATATTTAGAAGTTGAACAAAACTTAATTGGGAGGAACTGTATCTTGTAACTGTGGTTTAAATTGAACTGGGAACTGGCCAGAAACATGGGAACTTTACAGTATTATGGACGCCAATGGTGTCTTGAGAATAGTTAAGGAAAGATGAAGAAGGTGTAATATACAGCAGGCAAGCGGGAGTACAAAGGTCATACAGGGAGATTCATAGAAAGTATTTAAGACCTTCCAGCAGCTGGGGAAATCAGCCCAAATCATCAAAGGATACAGAGGAGGGAGCTGTCACTCAACCTTTAAATCCTCAAGAGAATTTTTTTTGCTGTCTAAAAGTAAAAGATTGGAATACCAGGGGCAGCCGGGGATTATATTCATTTTATTGATGGTCTCAAATAAAAGTCATGGGTTGCTTTTTCTGCAGGAAATGAGCTTATCCTTAATCTTTATGTTATAACTTTAAAAAGAAAAAAAGCTCTCATAGGACAGAAACATTTCTCCGGGGCTTATTTAAGCTATGTGACTCATTCTTTACTGCATTTGACAACTCCAAACATGGGCACTGTAGGAGATTCAGCCTAGAACCATTATTCAGCACATGATCATTGTGTGGTTGGATGTTTATAACATCAGACAGAGAGGTTAAAGTATTAGTCTGACACACATGTACAGTATGTCCATGCACGTGATATGAACTTTTTTCAATTATTGGTAATTCAATTGGTTAAAGTGCGAGCTCAGTGTGCATTTTTTTGTACGGTCTCATTCATGATCCTACATTGTCATATGTATCTGGTTAATAATCGCATTAGGGCTTTGTTATTTAAAAACTAGAGATTGATTTAACTCAATCTACCATTTAAACAGATACCCATTGAGAAATGTCAAGGGGACTGTAACTAATAGAATTTTGGATTGGCATCTTGATTTTCCAGAGCAGGAAAAGCACAGGTGTAACTAATAACATTAACAATGAATCAGGTCCATTTACTCTTAGTGTCCCAGGATGCCATACCATCAGGACATACCAGGACCCTGTAACTGGCAAATGTAAATGGGATGGAGAAAATAATAATTAATTTGGCATGGATGCCATTCAATTGAATTACTTAGAATGTGTTTTAACTGAAAATACATGTCATTTGTTACAATAGCAATTAAAAATCAGATGTTGTGTGTGAGAAGAAATGTGTAAAAATAACGATGTACAAACTGAAACCTTAAAAACATGGATTGAAGTCATCGGAGCTTTCAGATAAGGAATGATGACGATAATTATAAAATATGCCCAAGACCTCTGAATATGTAAAAAAGCATATCTTGTGTCGGCTCAGATGTACAGTAGATCATCAATGACTAAACACTGTGCAGTGGCTTCAACCCCTCGACCAGCTCAGAATCCCTTTCCTGTCTTTCCTTTAACTTGGAATAGACACCAACATGTAGAATTATGGGTCAAGTGCTATCTATAATTTCCCCTGGGTTTAAGATAGTTTTTTCTCCCATTCAGTGACTGGGAGAGATTTTTTAAATATTTCATTGACTCCTTAGTACTTGAGAAAAAGCAGTATGTTTGTTATTTTGGAAGGTTTTCAATATGTTTGGAAAATTACATGATGACCTATTTTTATCTTCTTTGGAGTATGGCTAGTGAGAAGCGTTTGTACTTGACTTCATTAGTAATAAGGCTGAGCGCTGCTTTCTCTGGAGAAATACAGTCAACATTTGACATATTCTGACACTTAGTCCAAAATAGTATAGTCACATTATACAGTCACAAGGCGTAATTTGCAGACATCTGTACGTCAGCAAATGCACCTTTGCAGTGCCACACAGGTTTCAGTGGTTTGGAAAGATAAGTGGAAAATACTTCATTAGCAAGGTAAAAGTGTTCTGTTCAGAAGAAAGATTTGATTGCATAATTACCCCCTGCTCCCTGTGGCACTTACATGACCCTTTAATCAGTTAGTTATTGGATTCATGGGTTGCCAATTTTTTTCAGGACCCTCTCTGGCTCTTTACTGTTTTAAAAAAGAGTGAAAAAAGCTTTTTGAACAACAATCAAATGCCTTAATGTTTATATTTTTAACGTAAACCATCCAAATCTATACATTTTCACTTTGTTGTCTTGTGGCAGCTTGCAAACAAACCTGTTTCCCCTCAGTGTCCTCAACAACTTTTAAAAGGTTTGCCCTACACACATGATGAGTACATATTTTCGATAAATTTGTCTTCACCCAATGAGGATATCTCACTCTGTTGATTTATGCAGCCCTTGCAGTGGGACCTCTCCGCCCCCCCCCCCCTCTCCTCTTCCAATAGCTGGAGAAAAAAAAGAGAGATTGCTCCTATTTATCAGTGTCACTTACTACAGACAAGCGCTCTGAATTGTTCTGCCAACAATGACACAGTGTGGTTTGACAAACTTCATGGAGATTATGATACTCGTAAATGATATGTTGTTTTTGTTGATTTAATGTTTTTTTTAACCCAGGTCATTTTCTTGTTTTGATTTAAGAAATGCTATTTTTTTAATAATTAAAAAGTCTTTGCTAACTTGTAATAGCTTTACCAAATTTAAAACTGCTATCATTTATATTTTCATAGAAACAATATATCAAAAAACGATGTTCCCCTCATGTTTGAGTTTGCTGTGATCATAAAATATGTGCCAAACTGTCGGTGGTTCCCACTCCAGCCAGCTGTAGATCAACACAATGTTATAATGGTTATCCATCAATGGTTCTGACATTATTAGATAACATTTCTTAACACCATGGCAAAAATCATGGCTGCACTAAAGGCAACACTGCCCTCGAGAAAAGAAGCTCTATAACCGGACGGCTTGTCTTCAGATTATTGAATGGTTTAAGTTTGTCACATAGCTGCAGAATGTTTGTGTAGTAAATCAATGCTAGATTGATGCATCACGG